ATTTTTTCTATAGAGTCACATGATTGGTACTGCAGTAAAAATAGCAAAATGTTAAACTAGCACTCAGGTTTAAAGCTTTTCAGGAAAGCACTGATTGGATCTGTCAATGGAATGAGTGCTTTTGGAGAATGACCTAATTATCACAGAGCTTGTTCCTTCTCACTGCTCTACTTCCTACTAATTGCAGGACTGCTGGCCTCCTCCCCCTGACAAGGAAGAAAAACAAGGGCAGGGATGTGTGGAGAAAACAGTGACATTCAGTTTTAATTCATTTGAACTTGCTGCCCAGCAAGCTTAATTACATAATTGGGAGTGAGATCTGTGGGCTTACAGCCACTTGGGCCAGTTTCTGATGGGGGTTTGCTGGGATTTTAGCAGTTACGATAAAGCATTATTAGTTGGGCCTGAAATAATCCCCCTCTCCTTCCCTCAGCAGATGTAGAATCAGAGGTTCTTGTTCTCAGACTTGATTATTTGTCATTAAGGAAAGCAAATTGAAACCAAATTGAAGCTGCTTTATTCCTTAGTAAACGCATCATTATTCTTTAGAGTCAGCCTCGTATTTCATTGTGTTTTCTTCTGATGGTGATGTAGTGTCTGCTGTCAGGCAAAACTCAGGAACACAATGTTTATTTCCAGAATGGGAGTGTAATTCCAGGTTGCCTGAGACATTTTTACCTCTGAACTTTGATTTTAACGAGTGAAAAATAAATGTATATGAAAGTCATATAACTTGGTGAAATACTTCAGATGTGGTAGCTTGCCCTTTATAATTTTGTTCACGGAGTCGTTGCTCCTCTTTTGGCTCGGTGCCATCAATGCAGATGTTTTGTACCAAGGGGCTGTTCTCTCCTTGCTGACATTATAACTCTTTCAGAAACTCTTTTCTCAAAGTTCAGCCATAAGTTGCCTGATTCAGAGAAAGCTCAGGGTGTTCCAAGGCCTCCCGGAAATGTCTTGTTTGGATAAGAGTCCATCCCTGGAGATCTGCTTCTTGATTTTGTAATATCCTGTGTAATGTGTGGGAGTGGAAAGAAAGGGAGGAAGCCAGCGAGAAGAAGCCTTACTAATGCAAAGTGCCAGAGGCCAGGTGTGCAGTATAGGGGTGCTTTGCTGGGCAAGTGTGGCTGACCCAGAGTCAAGACCATGTAATGTTTGTGTTGTCCTTTCTAGTTGAAAAGTATTAGTAGACATTTGGTCATTTAATCACCATGGCAGTCCACAAGGTAGGTTAACATCTCTTAAACATGTTTTCAATTTATTTTGACAAATATTTATCAAGCACAGGCTATGAGTTAAGTACAGTCCTACTAACTGGGTTGTACAAAGAAATAACACCTGGTAACCAAGGGCACTTTTGATTTCTTTTTTTCAGTTACTATAAGCGAAGGAGCAGCATTGTCATATATGTCCTATATCCTCCTACCTGCCTGCCTTCTAGAGAATAATATTTTATGCCTTTCTGTAGCTTTAATCTTTTATTATCAGCTTTATCTTTCCTACCAACATTTGAAAATGCAAAGACTAAAAACTTGCAAAGAATGTTATCTGTCCTATAGAATATAGTCAATAAGTATTTGCTGAATGACTTAAATGAGTTCTCAGTTCTCAGTAGACCTCTACTCCAGCTCCACACTGGAATGAGGTAGGGAATAAAGAGATACACACAGACCTCCCACCACACACACACATTTTAAAGCAATGCAAAAACCTCCATAGACTTCATATTCCCTGCTAGCTAAATCTATCCTTAATTCTTCTTCCCAGTCAAAATAACTGGAAGAGGCCTGAAAACCCTCTCTATGGCCTCATCTTTCTCTTACTCTTCTTCCTCTCAGGTGCCTTCAGTCCCCACTGCTTTCCTGAAGAAGACCTTGATAAAGGCATCTCTTCCTCAACAGGATGGGCACCAGCTCCCATGCTCTCCCCTGCCCATGCTCTCTGTTGCATCTGACATGGGAATTTTCTTCCTACTTGGAAGAATTTCTCACCTTGGCTTTGAGATGTGCTATTATCTCTCTCTCTCCCCCCTTCCCCCCCTCCCTCTCCCTCCCTCTCCCTCTCCCTCTCTCTGATTTTTCTTCTACCTTCTTTGCTAATTCACTTTTTCATCTGACAGCTAAATACTAAAGTTGCTCAAATTCCAAATCTTGGCCTTTTTTATAATACACTAGGAAGTTTTGTCTGTTGCTGTCTCTGTAAATAATATTTTATGTTATTGTTCATCTAATTTGTATTTTAAATTGCATCCCCTTTTCTGAGTACCAACCTAATATATCTAGCTCCTACTTGACATTTCTACTTAGATGTCTCTAAAGCTTTTCTGACTCAACATGTCTCAAAACAATATTTTAATTTTCCTGCTCTCCTACTGGGTCCTCCTCTATTCTCCCTGTTTCTGTAAATTGCATCTCCACTCAGCCAGTGGCTTATAGCAACAAAACAAAACAAAACAAACAAACAAAAAACAACAAAAAGTAGATGACCAGTTGTTATCTTTACTGCCCCTACTCTCAGCCTAATCAGCCTGTCACCAAGTCCTATTAATTCCACCTCCAAAATATAACTGAAATCATGTATCTCACCCAATCAATTTTATTGCCAGCTACCATTCCTCTGAATTGTTTCAATAGCCTCTAAGTCATTTCTCTCACTCCACTCTTGCTGCCCTCAACAATTCAATCTTCAGCTGAGGTGTTATTTTAAAAATGCAGATCATTTTTTGCCACTGCTTCCTTAAAACTCTTAATAATCAATAGTTAGATTCTATGTTACATGCTTTCACTTTCTTTCCAAGAACACGTGCCGTATTTAACCATAGATTTATTTGTATAATTTTTTGCTACTTCTCCCAACACAGCTATAAGTTGCACAAGGGCAGGAACTGAGAGTATTTTTTTAAACACTCAATAAACTGTGCTATGTACAGTACCTGATATATTATTTTAATACTGGCTAAAGATGTCATTATTGAATGAACCTATAAATAAATGAGAGAGATTGACCAAAGTGTGAGGTGAAAGGTGGTTCCCATCCAAAAATCATTTGAAGAGTTCTATGGTAAATGTAGCCACCCCCTTAACAAATGTATGGAGTCAGTGAGCTAGATTGGATCCTTCCTTGAATTGTTTTAGTTCGGGTCCTGTTTTTAATTCCAAGTAATTTTCAAGAATTGGGTCCTCTCCTGGGTAGGCTTTAGAGGTTACTAGAGTAGTTTACAAAGTGGGATTATGAAACAGTTCATAGTATGGTGTGTTTGAAAGGCCCTGAGTAGGCTTGGTTTCAAATAGTGGATCTGCCAATTAAGTGGATCGTGATCTTTGGCCCATGCCAACTCTCCAGTGCCTCAATGTCTTCTTGTATGTAATGGTCATGAGACCAATACTGCATTAAGCTCTCATGACTTCACTACATGTCAGTGAACCGGCCCGCCACTCAGCACAGCTGCTGGCATATGGAAGATAATGTCTAAATTTTATTTTTTTTCCTTTCCACCTTACTACGATTGCTGACTTTTGCTACTTTTTCCTTCTCCTTTTATTTTTCCTCATTCATCTTAGTGGGTGGTAATATTTGTATTACTCACATAGTTTGGATTTTGTAGAAAGAGAAGAATTAGCAGTACTTACAGAGCAGACTTCCTTTTGGATTAGAAATACAAACTTCACAGCTTCTCTGGCCCAGCTTTTCAAGAGCATTTTATGGTACACCGCTGTGTAACAAGTTCATTTTAGGATAACATGCTGGGAGGGAGAAAAAGAAGACAGGATTCGAGGGGAGAAAATTAAAAAGTTAATTAAAAGAAACAACTGGGTAATTGAATTTCTTTGCAGTCTTCTTTGTTTATTGGGATAGGGGGTCACAGTGCAAGGTTAGTAGGTATGCTTCTGCGGGACACCCCAAAACTTCTAAATGAGACAAGTATGAAAGTACAGAGCAAAACCCTGCCTAATGATGGGAAAATGTGTAGGACACATATATCAGGCTTTTGAGGAGAAAGCTGCCTTCATATTCATTCTTGCGGATTTACATTTTTAAGGATTCTTGGCAGCTGACTGAACTGTCAGGCTAAGCCCTGGCTGAACATCAGCTAGCTTAAGGGCATGCAAACTTCCCTTCTCATTGACTCTGCCTTACTACCTTTGGCCTCATCATGCATACACACTCACACAAGCACACAAACACAACGATAAAAACATTTCCTATGCCCCTCAGATGGTATTCCAGTATCAAATAAGCAAGATCTTTTTTTTATTTTTTAAAGCTTGAATATTTATGTATTTAATCATATTTAATCATATTTAATCATACTTTGTCACATGTTAGTTATTAAAATGTTATTATAGAAAGAGTCAAGGTCCAATAATGAAGAAGCATGATAGCTATATCACTATAAGCATGATAGTGCACGCCTATAATCCCAGCACCATGGGAGGCTGAGGCAGGAGGATTGCAAATTCAAGCCCAGCTTGGACAACATAGTGATTTAGCAAGACCCTATCTCAAAATTTAAAAATAAATAAATAAAAAGGGGCTGAGGCTATAACTCAGTGCTAGGGCCCTGGGTTTAATCCTTGGTACAGGAAAAAAAAGCATTGGTTCAGTAATCAAGTAGATTTTTGTTTAGACCCATCTCACTCACAACTTTTATTTATCTGTGCAGTCAATCTATATTTCTGAGTGCCGATGGTGTGGCAGATATTACTGCAGTTGCTGTTGATGACCATATTCTTATCATAGCTCTTATTAATTTGGGTTTGGAAAATTAATATTAGAGATAGACTTGTGTCTACCCTCCAAATCACTCTGTAGAAAATGACTTACATTTATATCTAAAGGTATCTTCCAAAAGGTTAAGGACTACTGATTTGAGAACCTTTATCTTCAATCAGGTTCTTTTCAGAAGAGATGAATGCGAGTCTGACTACAAACCTGCATTCATCAGTGTGATGGAGGCGAGCTGCATGTGCGCACTAATGAGGGGTTCTGTATTTCCACAGGTTATGGTTTTGTAGATTTTGACAGTCCCGCAGCTGCACAGAAAGCAGTAGCATCTCTCAAAGCAAATGGCGTGCAGGCACAGATGGCCAAGGTAAGACTCGTGTGTGTGTGTGTGTGTGTGTGTGTGTGTGTGTGTGTGTATTTCTCATTTCCTGTGAGCTGACTCTAAAGTAGAGTGAGCATGTAACAATTCATGTTATATTTATTTTTTTAGGAAAAATAAACTCTACAACTGAATTGCCTTAGAATAATTTGGCTGATTTATTTCATGGTATTTGTGTATTTTTATTAATGTGCATATATTTGTATTTACTTGTTATGGTAATCGCATCACTTATTTAAGGATGGTTTAAAAATACAAGGAGAGAGAGGAGATAAGTTTGTATGTATGTAGGACTTTCATCGGTAAATACAGTGTTGGAGTATTACAGTTGTGGGCAATTTGTCTTTGATTAACTATGCTAAACATTATTCTTATTTTTATGTTGGAGAGAATTGATTGTTGAATGATGGAGTTGTCTGACCTGTGCAGGGAAATAAGTTTATTAAAGCATGCTTTGTTTTGCTAGAACTCCACCTTGGCCCACATAGATTAGGTGAATATTTCCTAGATAATAATTTGCTGGATATTAAAATTTTTCAATACTTACTTTATTGGTGTGTAGAACTTATCTGGAAATGTCTATCTGAAAGTATAATACATTTTATATCTAAAAAATAAAATAGTTTATAAAAGTTTCTATGCTAATTGGAGTTATAAGAATTTACATATATGATAAAATAATATAGAAATTACATACGTAGTGTAGTAATGTCAACTTGCTGGTTTCAGTGTGATTCTTTACTTAGTGTGATGTAACATTTGGGTGCAAAGTACCTAGTATCTCTCTGTACTATTTTTGCAACTTCCTATAAATCTATAGTAATTTCTAAATAAAAATCTAAAATAATATATAATATCTGGATATTTGACAGATATGTACATTAACATAGTAATCATTTTGGGTTTGTTCACACACAACGAAAATTTCAAAATATTTTTTCCAGTTAATTTTAGTAAATGTTTTAATCTCGAGATTGTCCAGATTGTTGAAATCCTAATGCACTGCGTTTATGTGAAATTCATATGTTCAGTTGATCTTAGCTATCCCCATAGAGCTGAGTATTTTAGCAATGGAGTAATCGCACATTCAGTCCTCTGAATTTTGTCATGGTTACTAATAATTTCTGATACCATTTTCCGATTTCAAGCTCAGACTTCTAGAGGTAGGATACATGGTTCTCATCATCTACAGTTGTCATCTAGCAAGCTGACAGAGCCCTATCTGCTAACCTAGTGTTTCAAGTTATTTCCCTTATAGATTACTTTGGTGGACTGATTGTCCTTTATGACACTTTAATTGCTACTCAAAGCAATATATAATTAGAATTTGAATTCTTTCCGCTGTGTATTATATTCTTCATCAGGATTATGCCTGGAAGCTTTGGATTTGGTCATGAACTAAGATTGATGAAGTTGATATTTTTAATTAATAAGGAAATTACATACATGTCTTGGTTTAAAGGTTACTTGATAAAGAATCAGTAGTAACCCAAATAGCAATTTCCTGTACCCAGAAAATAAATGATAAAATATAGCTGTTATGGACTGGGGATTTAGCTCAGTGGTTTCGCCACCTGCTGCGTAAGCTCAAGGACTGGAGTTCGATCCCTGCCCGGTACAAAAAACAAAACAAAACAAAACAACAACAACAACAACAACAACAAAAAAATATATATATATATACACACACAGTTAGATATGTCTGTTGTTTGCAATATATACTTGAATTTGAATGAAAAGCAGCACCTATTGACAAGAAAATGTGTATAAAATTGATTCAGAGAAAAAAATTGTATTGGAATATTTTTTCTATTCTATTAGCAAAATCCTGAATTTCATAAGTTGCTAAAAATAACAAATACATGTTATTTCTATTACTTCAAATCTTCTCAGAATATATACATATAGTATATGTATATTTAAGGTGTTGAATAGGAACAATAAAGAAATTTGGCATGAATTCATAAGTACTGTGGGGCCACTATGAATACTTTTCCTCTGTGTCCTGGAATTCTGGTACATAGGGAATATCTGTCTCCATCTCTTTCTCGTGTGCACATGCTAATCACTGACATCTCACATAGTCAAGAAACTATCAGAGGGGAAATATTAAAGAGCTTTTAAAATGATTATTTATTCTAACCAGAATTTTTGGTCTTTGCAGTAAGAGGATTCCAATAGGAATATTTAAAGTCACTTACATTCAGAGTTACTCATAGATTTTACACCATCAATTGTACTGTCAGTGAAAGGAATTCTTTTCTTTCATGAAGTTGGAACTGAAAACCTAGAACTTCAGTTTCACATCTGCCTACTGGAAAATTTTCAGCAGTAAGTGACTGTAATTTAGCTACCCAGAAGAAAAATAAACTCCCTTTGACAATGAAATGGAACAATCTTGACCACCTGTATTAGAAGATTTCTCACTGAGGTATTGGATTTCATGGCACTTTTTTCCTTTGTCCTAGTTGTAACTGTTATTTATTATCATATAAACATGCAGTCTGCAGGGTATATAAAACTTGTACTATTTTTTTTGCCATTAAATATCTACTGAATAGCCTCCTACATCCTCTTTCTTATCAGTATCCTACTATGCAGGTTGTGGTGTCACATTTTAAAGACCCCAGGATTTTAAAATAAAAATGCGACAAATAATCAAGATTTCCAATAGCAACCTGAAGCTAATATGAAAGTCTCCATGTGAATTGTTTTATTGGCAAGCCCCTTCCAATGTGTGCACATGGGAACTCCAATTGATGTGTCAACTAAAAGAAATTTAATAACAGATTATCCAGGAAGTGGTAATTGATTAATAGTAAGAAACCATTAGCACAAACTAAAATTTTCTGTATAATTGCTGTTTTGCCAGAAATGGGTTTTCAGGATCAAAGGATATGTTTTTTAAGGAAAGAAGATTTGTAATATTTTAGTAACTCATAATAATTAAGAAAATAGGCCTTGAATCTTGATGCTGGTAACACCTGGATGTGTCACCTTGGCTAAGTTATTTAAATATCTCTGAAACTCTCATAGTAATACTGTACTTGGGTTATAGAATTACTGTGAATTTTTTTAAATGCCCAACTAATCTGATGTCATTCCAAGATTGTAGGAAGAAGTCAGTTGATGTTAATTACTTAATAAATGTTATTTATGTATTAAATTCAAACTTGCTACCAGACCTTTAAATCCTCCTGTATCCTTAAATGTCACGATATTACAAAATAGTTTGTTGAAAGTAACAAAAAACAGCGTTAGTAAATACTTTCATTGTTTATTTTGTACCCATTATATTGGTTATTAAAGAGGTGACACAGAGTTAAACTTCTTTCTTATTCTGAATTTTCAACATTATCCCAGTATCCATTATTGTTACAGTCCTAAACTAGTAATTTTGGCTAGTTACTATTTTTTCTGACCTCAAGATACACAGAAAAAGTTATTGGCCAGGGAATATGTGTTTCCAGTAGCAAGAAAAGAAGAGCATAAATGAAATCCAGGTAACAGTAGTTTAACTTACAGGTATTTATTTTACGACTGTACAAAGAAAGCCTGGGATAGTCAAAATAAAGCATATGCTTTGGAGTGCCATCAGGATCGAGCCATCCCTGCCATCCTTTATCTCTGGCTTTCACAATATACATCTGTATGATGATTTCTAAAGATATAGCCCTTGTATCTATAGTTAATCCAGAAAAATGAGAAAAGGGCAAATGAATGAAATAATATTATGGCCAATTTTGTCCTTTCAAAAGGGTGACTGACTTCACTGGGGCATAAGTAGAATAAATCAAAGTGATCACATGTTTGTTTGTTTGTTTTAATAAAATCTTATTTTAAAACAAGTCAAATTAAGTGATTATATCCTTTTGGACCAGGTATCCAAGAGGATTTCTAGTACTTTTACAGGAATAATAAAACGTATCATCTCTGACATGACAGAGAGAAGATTCAAATGAGAGGAAAAGAATTCTCTCCTGTAAATCAATGAACTTGATAGTAGATCTCTTGGGAGTGGGGAGCCAAAATGATCAGATTTTTTCATTTATAATCTGAGGATATGAAAGATAAAATTTAGTGACTATAAGAAAGGAAATGTTTTCAATGCAAACATACACGAGTAATTTACAAAAGATATCATTTCATTCAGGCCCTACAAGTCATATTTCAGTAGGAGAATTTTAGTTAATTAAGGAGAAGCCTATTCAATAGAATACTCAAAACAGACTAAGAATGCAGCTACTAGCCTCAGGATCTAGCTGGTTGCTACCAAAGCTACTCTTATAAATGCACAGATATGTGTTAGATTTTTGTCAGCTAGGCTCCTATAGTCTATGAAACCATTAGTAGTTTCTGCTTCTATGATTTCTAGGAATAGAGGATAACACTGACTATCTGATATGCCTGAATCACTATAATGAAGTGGAGACTACTGATAAATCACTCAAGCATGAGGCTCCTCAAGAGCTTTCACAAAGAAAGGAGAGTGACACATTCAAGGGTAACTTTTAAGTAGGCAGTTCAGGAGATATTGCTTCCAGGACTGATGGGAAATTCACTCAATCAGTATTTTATAATGGTGGGCAAGCGCTGTCAGGAGAGTCTAATGTCCACAGAATAATGTCCAGGTAAAATTTTTTTGTGGTCAATAAGATCAGGGGTCAGAGAAGTCTACATAATGTCATTTGTTTGTATCCCCAGTTTTTCCCTGGAGATAAAGTGCTAGGAATTGCAATTGGAGCAGCAATTTTCCATTCCCCTATATTCTCATCACATGTTTTTTGAACATGTATACCTACCATACACCAGCATTGTTCTACATGCTGAAGATGAAGCATTGAATCAAACCAAGTTTAATGAAGATCACATTCTAATGAGGATAGGCAGAAAACAAACATAAAACAAAAGAACATAGTATACTATGTAGTCAGAATTAGTTTGGAGATGAAACTGGTTTGGCTTACAAAACAGAAGATGGAGATGGT